CAAATTAAATTTAAAAAAATATATATATATATATATTTTTTAGAGAAAAAGAATGAATGATTGAAAAGTTATAATTATTTATACAGACCCTTCCGATTGATAATGGGGCACTGAAATCCTTTCCACCTTGTAAGCGGAAACCCCATGGGGTATTTTCACCACGACTTAATTTCACGGTGATCGTAGACATTTCGGTTGTTTTTTTGTAATCCTTCGAGCGAATTCAGTCTGTACAGCGATACATTCGTCCGCCGAACTGATTCTTCGTCCACTCCTTTTTCCTTCGCCTAATCTTGGTGTTTTACAAACTGTGACATCACGGAGCCAACATCGTGGGCGGAGCTAGTGTTGAACTGTGACGTCACGATATCAGAAGTTTGTAAAAATTTCAAATGTTGTTTCCATCATCATTTCTGCCATCTAGTGGTAATTATTATAAAAAATCTTTAAGAGATTTTATACGTTGATAACACGATATTCGCCATATTGCATTTACCATCGCCGCAGAAAACATTTAATTCTCAAATAGTTTATTTAGTGAAATTAATATTTAATATTTAACAAATTAACATGCTTATTTTGTCTATATTTAAATATAGAACGGAAATGAAGAGTCGTAAAAATATAAATGATACAGAAAAACTGTAACAGATAAGTGACAAAATTTCTCCCCAAATAATATTAGTTAATAACACGTATACATAAGTACTGTACATACAAACACTACAAACATACAAATATATAGGCTAAGTAATATACATATAAATATTTAATATATGCATATACCATACAATACCTTTGTAATTGGAAAAGGCTATTTTAATTACTGATGTCAGAGCAATTTATTGTTGTTTTTTATAAACAATTATTTTGCACTCTCATCAATATTTTGTCGTATCACGAATTAATTAAAAGAGTTTATTGTACATATAATTATTAATAAATAAATAAATAAATTAGCTTTTTAAACAGAAAAAATTCAATATAAAATGAATATTTTTAAGTTAAATCGAACAATTACTTATATTTTAATAGATTATAGCAGACTTTTAAGAGAGAGAGCTTAAGAAAAATTCATTTTCGTCTTCATTTATTTTAAGGAAGAGCGAATAAAATGCAAACGAGTAAACAATTTCTATAGAAATAAATTACTAAACTTTCAACTGGAATGTCAATTCATCAAAAAATATCTATGACTAATTGACATTCTTGTCGAAAGTTTATGTCTGTCACGTATGAACGAACTGTTTATTGTAAGAATTCGAAGATCCTTTTGTGGCTATTCACTACGATAAAAAAAAAAAAGTGAAAGTTACTTTTGTACTTTATATTCGAAATTTTAGTAAGTTTTAAAACTCTTCTGCATAGAATAAATTTACTCGTAATAATGGATCAAATTTTAACTTATCTTTTATTCATAAATAAATCGGCATTTTTAGTTTAGATTCTCCGAATTAATTTTATTCAGATTTCAATTTGTTGCATTTGAAATTTCTTTGTTTAAACAGGTTATTTACCTGTTTTTTTCTAAGAAAATAATTATAATAAATTATCGAATACATTGTTAATGTAGTATCAATCCTCTTAATTGTACTTAATATATTGAGGAAGATTTGTCACAAAAGCTGAAGGAATTTCAATAAGAAATCGTAAAGTTCCATATAATGCTATTTAAAATATGGTGACATAAAATATACAAATTTATTAATGTAATAAATTTCATTCATAAAGAATAATATAGCTTATATCTGAAATCGAATATGCTCCATATTTAATATATAAAAAAATAAAAATCTGAAGTTTCACAATTAAAACACTGTTACACAATACTTAAATAATAATCTTATACCTTATTAATTAGGATTTATATTCTATCTTCATTTTAGAATTTTAGATTTTTTTTTTATTTGTGGGGTGCTTGTGTGTAAATAGACCATAGTACTTTAAATCAACTGTGGAATGCACCGTAATGAAATTTTAGAATAGAATATTTGTCCTTTAATGAGTGTAGTCTAAGAATTAAGGAAATTTGATCATCTGCTAATACTGATTTCCTGGTATCTTAAGTGGGGTATAAGAGAAGTGGGGTATAAAAGAACGTAATAAGATGATTCATGTTATAAAACTTATATATATATTTTTTATTTTAATGTTAACTAGATAATATTTTATCAAATTATATATATTTTTTAAGCTCATAAAGTATAAAAAGAGAAAAAAAAACACGAAAATTATTCTTATAAATTTATTTAAATCTGTAACGTCCATATATCACAGCCCATCAATCATTTCGAAGCTATCGTTTCCATATTTATGTAAGAGAAGATTTTTTTAAATTGCAGAAGGATTTTAAATGGCCAATTGCAGACAAAACTANTTTCTATATACTGTATTAAATTTACACGATAAAAAATCGATAGTGTTCGATTTCTATACCAAACAATTTAATGGTCTATTTTGGGTTGCAATTTTAAAAAGATTGTAAACCTATAAATTCCCCACTGTCGTCCGTCTGTCCGTCCGTCTTTCTTTAATGTCGAGAATGGAGTTAGATATATGAAATCTGAGAGATATAGGGAAATTTTAGGGGCAGGAGGTCCGATTTCTATATATAAGAACTTCCAATACAAACAGGAAGTCGCGTTATTTTAATTCAAAAATTTTCCCCCCGATAGGCGTTAGATAAATGACCTGCGCGACTCTATTGTTAAAGGAAAAGTATGATGTACAGGGCAAACTACTATTAATCTGAGGTGGAGAGGATATATTTTAAAATAAATACATTAAAAATTGTAGCCCGGCATTGTAAATTTTTTCCGTTTTGGCAGGTTTCCTTTTTATTAAGGTTCTGTTTTGGACAGGTTTTACTGTATTTACCTAATCGTAAAAATGTAATATAACTTAATTATTTTATTTTATTAATTTTTTTATATATAAAATCAATACATTGTAAACGATGATGACAATCAAAGATTCTTTGAAATATTTGGGGATTGTTGAAACTTAATACATATACATCAAGTATAAAGCTATTTAAAATTATATTATCCGCTAATTTAATTAAATAAACTGTTGGTTTTCTTCTGAATATTTTTACTAAATACTTTTTCTTTCCCCTCCCTAAATGTTTATGATTTACAATTTATTCATATTTACTAATAATTACAAACGCTTAAGAAACAAATAGTCATGACTTCAAAGAATGAATTTGGACCTATAAATAAACATGATCTTACTCCATTTATAGGTAAATCCGCTTCTGACTCGTGAGATTTATAAATACCGGAAGGTCAATGAATTTCATTTCTAGTCGGATAATGAACTTTTGAATGAAAATAAACTGTTTGATTGGTCTATCAATTAATTTTAAATCTAAGCATACTTTACTGACAACTAAAACGTAGGTAAATGCGATAATACCTTCGTACTAATACCTATTTCATTGTCTGCTTAAAACCCGGTTAATAGATCTTACCAGAAATTGGTTTTGTTGTCAGCACTACTCTAGACGATGATCGTCTAGACCAGTGGTTCTCAAAGTTCCTTCCCCGACTGAAAATTGTGCCAAATTGCAGTATGTATTCATACTGCAATTTGGCACAATTTGTTATATGAAACGGCCGGGTGATGAGGGACGGGTCCCGGACGGACTACCCCAAGAAATATATGAGATATTTCTAACCCGTTCGGATTCAATCTCATCTCCCCAGAGCAATATATTACCACTTTAACTGCTTCTGCCGTATTTGTATCAGGGTCGTTTTTCGTAGGCGAGTGGAGAGGTAGTCAAGTGTCCTGTTGAGAAAAACATCTTATAATATTTCCTTGTCTGTTTATAACTATAATAATATTACATTGAACTGAGTTGTTTCTGCTTCAAATCGATTTATGGAGATGTTAGAATTGTAAACATAAATAAATAATGATGTAAAATATGTGCAATTAGTTGAAAATATTTTCCCATTTTGGTTCTCCAGTGTCTAAATGGATAAACCATTGGACACTGGTAAATGGTTGTGGGTTTGCGTCTTACAAATTGAATTTTTCGAGTTTTGTTTACGTGCTTAACACCTAAATAAGGTCAATTTCTTACAGAAAATCTTCTCGCGAATCATTCCATTGGCAGATCCTGTCAAACCAAACAACTTTCCCATTTTCTTTCACTTTCAGAATTTTCCCTCAGCAGTTATAAGCGTTCAGAGATTTTTGGGCACTTTTGATATGAAACATGGAAAAATGACACGCGAATTGAAGTTAACTTTGAACCAGGAAAGTAATTTACTGCATCTACAGAAGGTGGATTTGATCTGTGAATCGCGTTTCAAAAGTCAATACTGTGGTCAGGATGGATATTGATGAATGAGATTTTCATTAATTAACGAGGGAAAAACGGTACAAAAATTAAGCCCATAACATACGTCGAGGAGAGATTGGTGTCACTATTCCGTGCCAAGACAAATGCAATAATAATTCTTATAGTGAACGTAAATAATAGAAAAATATTAGGCATTATAACACATCATGGTAAGAAAAACACTTCTGCGTTACTAAACATGGACGGAACAGGATTGACTGGCCAAAGACTCGAGTATATCGAATCTGGATTCTAGTAACGAAAAAGTGACTCGCCCATTCTTAAATTAGTCTAATAAATATTTATTATATTAATACCGATTACAGCAAACATACAGTGTAGTCCATTTTAATCAATCCACTAGAATAACTCGAAAAATACCTATAAAAAATGCTGGACTTCAAGGAAACCATAGGATGGGCCATCGGTTTCGTCAAAGATTGTTATACAATTGATGAAATCGTAAAGTCTTACATACGAAAGTAATTTCCGATAACTACTGTCTATGATTGGTCGAGAGAGTATTACGTGATAACAGGGCGCCATTTTTGGTCGAACAATAGATAAAGATCATTGTTGATTGTATGTAGCTTTCCTGTTTTTTTTTTTCTTTCATTTATAAAGTATATCGTCTTGTTGTTTTCTTACAGGCTACAGGGTGTTTCAGAAATGTTTTGCTAAATTTCACAAATGATTAGTAAAGGAGTTTAATTACTAATACTTTACGTAGTCTTAAAAAAACGAAAATTACGCCACAACGTAACGATTAATAACTCGCTAATTAAGCTTCAGAATCAATTTTATTCAGGTTTTGCCCCTCTATAAGCCTGTGAAATTGGGTCAAACTTTTTCGAACTACCCTGTATATGTAAGTAGAAAATATATATAAAGTTGAAAAGTCGAAATATTAATATATAATTTACGATCTTTCTACTTAAAGTTATCTTTTAATTGCAAATTTTTCATATTTTTCTTTAGTTATTTTTCATTTATTTATGTTTTTATTAAGGAAATCGTCATTATTATTATTATTATTATCAATATATATTCTACTCGAAATTTACAATTACAACTCAACTGAAGATTCTTATTATGCTCTTTTACAATCATTCATCTATTCTCTTCTTCGTCTTTGTTTCCATAGAGGAGATTAATTAAAGAGAGCTTGACTGATTGATATATGAAGAATAGAACTAAGAGAGGAAAGATTTCTCTTCTAGATCTATTCTTCTCGGTGTAACAAGACTGACTCTGAATTTTTATAACAAGTCTAATTAGCTGATTGCTAAATAGTGTACTAAAACGAATATCTTTTCCATCATTTTTTAAGTAGTCTATAATTCTTTTCTTTCAATTCTTTCCATGTTTTCAATTACTAAACATCTCTGGACATTATTTTTAGCATTCTTGCACAACACACATCAAATGCCTTGATTCTTTTTAATGCTCTATTGTCATTGTTCTGATCTGGCATCAATAAGAGAACACTGACCTGTGTAAAATTATATTAAAAAAAACATCCGTCACTTCTCTTCTTTTTCTTACAGAATAATGCCTAAATCATTCCTATTATTAACTTTATCTCACTATTCTACTAATGTTATTTAGGGAGTGCCAAGATATTCAAATTAGCTTAATTCGTCTAACAAATACATTTTAACTCCATATTCTAAGTTTGAGTATGAAATGGAAGTGGAAGCCAAAATGTTTGGATCAAGTGAAAGAATTTCTGGCAGAAAAGAAAAGCTGCCAATACTTCTGGAGAAAACATGACGTTATCTGTCTAAAAATATTAAGTTTTCTCAGTGTTACTTGCTTCATCTTTGTATTCTTTGGCTAATTCTTTGTTTTGATTTTCTATATATAGTTAGCCAATACTTAATAAAGATTTTTACATTTTTTTTTTTTTTACAGTAGACGTTTTGGTTTCAATTTTACATAATTGTACAATAAGAACACTTGNCAAATTTGCCTGGATCCCATTAAACTATAACGAGCCATTACATTTTCGTTTTCTTTTGGTGTTTAAAATTTAATGTATAAAACATTTAAAGTAAATTATAAACTATTATTAACAAACAACAAATCGTGTGTATTATAAATTAACATTATAATATATTGCTTAATTTTTTAAACAGCATCTCAAGGAAAAAAATTCATTTGGCCACCACCTAGTCAAAACATGTATTCGAACAACGAACCTGGTTCTATAGTCCATCACATTCCCGGAGAAATCCAATGGAATCCATCATCTCCTTCACAGATGCGTAGAGGCCCAGTTTTTGCACCTCAAGATCCAAGACCCGCTCGTCGTAGAACAGATGATATTTGGCCACCGAGAAATAATGTAGGAACAGGAACCGTCTCTGCTCCTATTCCTAAACCAGTCAAGAGAGTCGGTAGGTTCGATGATTACATAAAACACACAGCTAGTATTGGAGTACCAGTTACATACAGAGCACCTCCCGGTACTCAATATGTTCAATATGTCGAAGAAGAAGTAGTCGAAGAGGAAGAAGTAGAGGAGGAAGAAGTCGAAGAAGAAGAGGAAGATGAATAAAAATGTTATTGTTTATTTTTGTGTTTTATTGTGCAAATCGAACACTTATCAATCATCTTTGATAATTTTAATTTTTTTTTTCCTCTGTTGAATCGCAACAACAGGGCATCAGATCCAGAGTACCATCTGTCAATCATACATGAGATTTCCTGTCACCGAGCTGTTTAGAGTTTTCTGCTTTATATTTAAAATGCTTTTTTATAGTTTTGTCTGCAATTGGCCATTTAAAATCCTTCTGCAATTTAAAAAAATCTTCTCTTACATAAATATGGAAACGATAGCTTCGAAATGATTGATGGGCTGTGATATATGGACGTTACAGATTTAAATAAATTTATAAGAATAATTTTCGTGTTTTTTTTTCTCTTTTTATACTTTATGAGCTTAAAAAATATATATATATTAAGCTTATATACGTTTTAATTTAATTGAAGCAAGTACAAGTCGACCCCCCATAACACTGTTGATAATTCCGTTTTATATGAATTCCATGTTGTACGAGTCACTTAGATTTTACAAATACGTGAGCCGTTTACAGCCCGGTACACGTATTTGTAAAATCTAAGTGACTCGTACAACATGGAATTCATATAAAACGGAATTATCAACAGTGTTATGGGGGGTCGACTTGTACTTGCTTCAATTAAATTAAAACGTATATAAGCTTAATATATATATATTTTTTAAGCTCATAAAGTATAAAAAGAGAAAAAAAAACACGAAAATTATTCTTATAAATTTATTTAAATCTGTAACGTCCATATATCACAGCCCATCAATCATTTCGAAGCTATCGTTTCCATATTTATGTAAGAGAAGATTTTTTTAAATTGCAGAAGGATTTTAAATGGCCAATTGCAGACAAAACTATAAAAAAGCATTTTAAATATAAAGCAGAAAACTCTAAACAGCTCGGTGACAGGAAATCTCATGTATGATTGACAGATGGTACTCTGGATCTGATGCCCTGTTGTTGCGATTCAACAGAGGAAAAAAAAAATTAAAATTATCAAAGATGATTGATAAGTGTTCGATTTGCACAATAAAACACAAAAATAAACAATAACATTTTTATTCATCTTCCTCTTCTTCTTCGACTTCTTCCTCCTCTACTTCTTCCTCTTCGACTACTTCTTCTTCGACATATTGAACATATTGAGTACCGGGAGGTGCTCTGTATGTAACTGGTACTCCAATACTAGCTGTGTGTTTTATGTAATCATCGAACCTACCGACTCTCTTGACTGGTTTAGGAATAGGAGCAGAGACGGTTCCTGTTCCTACATTATTTCTCGGTGGCCAAATATCATCTGTTCTACGACGAGCGGGTCTTGGATCTTGAGGTGCAAAAACTGGGCCTCTACGCATCTGTGAAGGAGATGATGGATTCCATTGGATTTCTCCGGGAATGTGATGGACTATAGAACCAGGTTCGTTGTTCGAATACATGTTTTGACTAGGTGGTGGCCAAATGAATTTTTTTCCTTGAGATGCTGTTTAAAAAATTAAGCAATATATTATAATGTTAATTTATAATACACACGATTTGTTGTTTGTTAATAATAGTTTATAATTTACTTTAAATGTTTTATACATTAAATTTTAAACACCAAAAGAAAACGAAAATGTAATGGCTCGTTATAGTTTAATGGGATCCAGGCAAATTTGAATTAGGGGTTCCATGTACAGTACAGTGTTGACTTCAAATATTTTTCTTCGAGAGAAGTTTTTGAGAACTATTTTCTTATAATAAATTAGTTTTGGGGCCCCTGTTGATGAGGGTCCCAGGCAATTGCTCTTTTTTGCCCATAAGATAACGCGCCACTGCAAAAAATGAACAAACTTCCTAACCTAAAAAACATTTGCTTTTATCTTAATTTAATTAATATATCTCTTTTAAATTTTAAATAAACTTACACTCCCTAACAATCGTTGGCGAAAATCCTGTTTTGGGAAGTTCTCTTACGCTGGATGTCTATAAAAATAATTAAAATTATTTAAGCTCTTTGTATTAATTACATTTTATTGATTTAATTAATCAAAACTTAATATTACTTTAGGAGGCCAAACATTCCTTCTTTCCCTTCTAACTGTGGTTACCGCTGGACTTGGAGTCATCTCCTAAGAAATCGAAAAGCGGAAGAAGACAATTAAGTTAAGTAAAAGTCGTTATTAAGTTTAGTGTTCGATCAGTTGATTCTTCAGTCCGTTCCTAGAAAACAAATGAGATTTATATGTGTACATAATATTAATCAGAGATGTTAATCAAAATCAAAATGCAATTTTCATTTCCAATTTGTCAAAGAGAACTAACAATTACATCTCATCCATATAAAGCTTACAATAGGAATTTTTATAAGTAACTTAAATTAGTCTATTATTAGGCATTAAATTAGAATTTTATTTAAGTTCTTTATGTATTAATTAAAGCTAAAATAAATTTAATTAATTTCTGTGTAATTCCATTTGAAAATTATCCCTGATTTTATAAAGATTGTGATATAAAAATTTATTTTCTTTGACAAATCGATATAACATATTCTGTAATTCAGTTATATATAAATTGATTGAAAAATAAAATTTAATTTTTATGAAATAAAGCCAAGTTTTTATCTCAATATCTCTAGTGTAATTTTATCTTAACTTATAAAGCATGCTATCATGCACAAATAAACTCATAAGGTGCGACGTGTTCAGACTTCTATTTAATGTGACGTGCCTATACTTTTAATATATATATATATATAATAATTTCACTTAACGAAATATAATAATCTTATTGAAAAAATAAAGAATTATGATCATTGTAAATTCCATAGACGTTTACTACAGACCTACAGTACTTATTTAAGACTGGGTAATTAATCTTATAATAGTAATTATCTATATATACATTTAATTTTTTAAAAAATATTCTTTAATTAATTTATATTGTATTATTTATATATATCTTTCTTATCAATTTATTAAGCGCCATAATTATTATAATTCTACCTTTTTTTTTAATAGAAGTGCGCGTATAAATTGTTTAATTTATATTTCGTGTTGATTTATTTAATTAAAAATGTTAAAAAAATAAAAAAAATATTAGACCGATAAAGTATAAATAATAAAAATTATAAGAAAAATACTCATTAATTCAATTGAAAGTAACCTAGATCAGAGGAAAGTCGATAGAGACGAATTAGTCACGGGAACATTATCAAGAGACAAATGCGATGTATGTCTAGAAGCCAATACCTTCAATGAATTTAAATTCTTGATACCAACGTTACTTGCAACTAATGCCAAATACTAATTGCGAAATTCGACTCGTCTTTCTAGAGATTCGAATGAATTTAGAAAAAGATTAATGACTAAACATTTATTTTCTGCATCATTGTCACCTATTGTATTTTAAGAGGCAACTATATAATAAAACGGATTTTGTTGTCTTTAATTTAGAAATTTTCGAAAAACTATATGAATTTTATTCAAGTTATTTAGGGAAATTTAATTTATTCACATAACCCGTAAGGTTTTAAATATAAACAGCTGAAACTATTTAAATATTTAACTGTATTTCTTTACAATTATTATATACACTTTCCGCACTTATGTTTACGTTGTGACTATTTACTAGACATAGCTATGTAAGTGGAACTATATTTAAATTCGTAATTTATCTGACGAAAATATATATATATATATATATATAATATTAAAACTTAAATAAAATTAATTACAATAATCTCAATTGTGTCTTTTTTTTTAGTACGAATTAAATTAGGACTGCATTATTATAAGAACATAAATGGTAACTATTAATCTACTTTACAATGTATATTTTCAACAGAAAAACTTGCCTTATTATCTAATAGAGGTCAAATATTTCGACGAACAATATTTGTTTCCATATAAGGCTTTCTGTTAATGTTTACATCCTAGTTACAAATCTGATAAGTCAGTACTTACAGATATGACCTGATAATTTTATAGTGAGTAAATCCGGTATTACGAAGCACTCGAATAATTGTAGAGAAATTCGATTATATATATATATATAATCGTTTACTCGAAAGATATTATGACTGAATGGTAAAATAGCAAATCCAGAAGAAAACATATTTGCAGTTGGCACCTCTTTTTTTTTTTTCTTTGTTTTTAATAGGATTAAAAGTCTTCCGTCTTTAAAACTAGTTGTAAATTTCGGGTGCTTTTACTGGCTTGTTTCCTACAGCTGTCATTTTGGTGAATGTGTCATTAGTAAACTATGCTCTATCTGTATCATTTCACGCTTTCGAACCATACCAGGAAGCAAATATAGGAAATCATGTAATAGTAAAGATGTACAGTATTATATAACCTACATATTAACAGCTTTTTTTTTACAGTGAGCTTAAAGCAATTCGAATAATCAACAACATACAATGAATTTTTACGGTTTTAGTACTATTCTAATTTAACAGTTTCTTGAATTTGGCTCTTTTTCAATTCTCTTCACACAATAATGCAAAACTAGATCACTTCACCTTGACTTTTAAAATTAAACCATTAAATTCGCATAAAAATTAATTAAAATTAATAGCTGCAAATAAATGAATTAATAATAATAATAATAATCGAATGTTTCTTAAGAGTAATTAATTAGTAATTATTTATTTACACGTTGATATATAATATATTTTATAGCCTATATAACATAGGAGAAGAATTTCTGTAGTGTACAATGCAAATATATAAATTTAACTGGTTTTATTTTTCAAGAATGTTAACGTTATAAGTCATAGTTTCAAATTATTATCATATTTAGCAGGAATATTTTTGTTTTGTATACAAATCTCTTATAAACAGAGGTTTTTTTTAAAAAAATATATTTTTCACTATGTTGAAAGTGTAAATTACGCAATATAGTATTTTTAAATAAACATAATATAAATTTACGTCGTTTTCTACAGCACATTTCTACACCATAAATTTTTTGAATTAAACAGGAAACGAAAAATCTCTGGATATAAGCCAAACTGGTTGAAAATTACTTCGTGAATATCCTTATTTAATGATTATTTTGAAACTAGATAGTGCCTAAAATATATATAGATCCAACAAATGTACATTTTCCCCCTTTTTTTTTATTTACTCTAAAATGTTTGCATAATGTGAATTATAATTTAATTCAAAACAATGTCAATTTTTTTCCCTCCTGTTAATATTAAAAGATATTTTATTCACGTGCCAAATATCCTATGGAAGGTGATCAGTGACACTTCACAAGAAAAGTCAATTGTTCAAAGCATAAAGGTGCTTTATACATTCTAGGTTATTGTAACTAAGAAAAAAGAGAACTCATTTGGCACTCCAATCTAAATTGTTTTCTACAGTTTAAATAATGAAAGAGTTTAAATGAACATTTCAAAAAATAGCTAATGAAATAAGTTATATTTTAGCATTTTGTCCCACATTAAATCGACTGGGAGAAGGTACATACATAGCTTAGTTCATACCATCCAAAAATAACTCAATGGCCTGTTTTCCAGTCTGAGTTACTCATTTCGGTTAGCTTAGCCAGATCCAGATCCACCTACATTGCTTACTCTGTGTTATGATACGTGTAGTTTGATGATTTTTAAGTCAATACCAAGTAGGACATTCAAGGACAGTGTCTCGTTAATGTGTCCCAAAATTATTTTAGACTACATTAATAAAATCTTAGTGAAACTATTTCAATTTCCAAAATAAGAAATCATACATAGAGAATTCAGTCGATAATTTTCACATTTAATCATTATTCAAAAATGTATCTAATTTATCTAATTTGATAATTCATCTGACTTACATTTTAATGCATAATTAATCATCTAAATTAAATGCTATTAAATGAATTTTCTTAAAAAATTTGATGTTTAATCTCGAATAATCGAAGAAAAATTAATTATTATTTTACTAAATAAGTAATTAGTAATTATAGTCATGTAAACAATATTTTCTTTCTTCTCCTCTAAAGTCTTTAGTAAGTGAAACTTTNCTCGTACAACATGGAATTCATATAAAACGGAATTATCAACAGTGTTATAGGGGGATCGACTTGTATTATGTATGTAAAATTATTTAATATATATATAGAGAGAGGCCTATAATAATGTCATATTCTTTCATGGCATTCACAATATAAATTTTATGTAATACAGTAAACTCAAATGAAAGAATCTCTATACAATTCCATTGGTATACTTATTCACCGGACTGTAATTATCGATTAAATTAATTATTTTCTCAATAGGAGGGTAATTTATCTTTTATATTAAGTTATATAAGTCTATAAAATTTGCAAGAAAGATATAATTAAGCGAGTAATCATTTATATTAAAAAGTCTTTCAGAATTTCTTAATGGGGAATTTTTATTAATGTGGTTAAGAAGAGGAAAAAAAAATCTTTAGGTGGATCATTCAAAAAGTTAACAAGGGAAATGACACATAATAAACTACGGTTTAGTATATTAATATTGTAACAGCCATTGCCTATTCGGTTTTTCATGAATTTCGAGGTAAGCGCTTTTAAAACTAAAAAAAAAAAAAAAAAAAAATTTGATATGGTTTTAATTCCAACATAGGAAGTCGACATTTTAATTAATATTTTCCGTATTGTCATTTCTATACGGCAGGGGGCGTTTCCACAGTAAGCGAAAGTTGTTTGTGGGAGAAAATGGCGCAGAAGTTTAGAGTTATTGGTTGTAGGCATTCAATCAAGCTGGTTTTTGGTCTCTTTCTTCTAATCTACCATCCGACAGAATGTAAGTTATTTACGTCAATGCTTTAAAATTGTAATATGAACAGAGATATGTTATAATTCGCGCGAAAATGTCCAGAAACTAAAGTTTACTTATTAGGCTTAAACACTGGCTTGGTGAATTTCAAATGATTATTATTTATCATTTGTTTTGAAAGATGTTCGTTGTTATTATATACACGGGCCGACTTTATCATCGTTTCCTGTTCAAATCATCATCGGTTTATGCCAGTAAAAACTCTTCGTATTTTGTCACAATCATCCAACTTCCTTGAATCAATTAAAAGATAGAATTGCATGAAATACAACACCTGTGATAGTCTCGATTTTTGCATGCACTGATGATTCTCTAATAGAGGTTCTACTTACGTATACAAAAGATGAGTTGATCTTGAGTAGTTGAAGAAACAATGGGCGTTCGTTGACGAAATGAAGCCAAGTAAACGACGAAACGTTGATCACCTCTCTCTCTTTCTCTCTCTTTCTCGCTCTCTCTACAACGCTATTTCCAGTCTTCTGACGTATGTGGTGTTTGCCAAATGACGCATCGACATTCTGTTCAAGACTTTTGGTATAAAAAGATATTTTCAATATAGATTTTATTATTATTTTAAGCTAACGCAACAAATTCTTCGACATTCGAACGATTGTTTATTATTGATAGTAATATAATTTAATCTTTTCTAAATTCGTTTTAAACAGTTGACTTAATAGTTAAATTCCGAATTAATTTTATTACCTAAGCATAGAAAGAATAAACTATAAACAAATCTTAAGCAGATATATAGAATCATAAAGGTAATGTGACCTTAATCGCTTGTCCAAAACTTTATTCTTTTAACAAAAAAAAAAAAAGAAATTTGGCAAAGATATTAGATAGAGGCATTTGAAAACACTTCTTTCTCCAAGAAATAAACTGGAATTAGAAAACGTGTTGCATGTAGTTTGAGATCATCCTTGTGTCACACATGAAAGTAAACAAATGATTTTTATTATATCTTTTGTTTAGACAAGAAATCTAAGTTTGTTGCAGCTATCTTTATACTTTGTAGTCTAGTAGCATCTCAGAAAATGTTTTCGTATTTTATAAATAAATTATTATTTTAATTACATTAAAATCTCTCGAGAAATTAATTATTGTCTACAATAAAAAAAATATATTCAAATAAACTAATGCATTCAAATTTAAAAGAGAAAAAAAAAGTTATTGTTTTATTAGTAACTGCCAAAAAATCCTTATATTTTCTATAATTCCTATAATTTCTTTGATTCTTTTAGGAATAAAAACAAGGTAAAAGGTCACGCAAATAAGAGATTTAACATCCCTTATTTGGAAAGAATTAAAAAAAATTGATAAATTAAAATTAAATAATATATTGTAAACTTATATAATATATTTATTTTGCATCCTTCTACTCCTTAGTATTGTATTACTTAGTATAAGCCTCTATTAATATTTTAATTTTTATTAAAATATAAATTAATTGTGTGTTATATATTTAAAATACTCATCTTTTTAAATCTCTCCTTTAATATTACCTCAGTTCATTTTTTTTTTTTAAATTTAATCTTAATTTAATTAGAGAATCCGAAAAGCTCTTCCTATTAAAATTATTTTCATTTAATTTTATTATAATATTATTTATTAACTAAGTAAAATATTTTACATTCCTGTAAAATTTGGCATCCGAAGATGATATTGTAAATTCTTATTTGATTTGAGATAAAGAAATTATGCTGAAAAAAACAACATTTTCCCACGAGATACTTAATTAACCATAGTTTTATTTTAATGCCCGATAATTATTAAATAAAACTTTTATTAAATTTTAAAATGTATAATAAAATAGGTAGGTTTTAAATTCTATTTCAAGTATTTTTCCCCCTACATCGACGTCGCGACACAATACATTCGTGGCAAACCTTGGCTAACAAGTAAGTGTGTCAAGAAATTTTTTCTTTATTTTACTGATGTTTACCCGGTAATATTATACGATATTTCTGTTATTTATGCCCGTTTAGCCGGTATATTATCGTTTAAACTGGCGTAAACGAATTGTGATTAACAAATTTTTGTTAGGGAAAAAAATATATAAAATTCTTTTTTAGTTTTGTAATTAATTAACTAAGCTATCTGTATAAACTACAGTCGACCCCCTACAACACTATTGGTTATTCCGTTTTATATGAATTCCGTGTAGTACGAGTCACTTAGATTTTACAAATACGCGTGCCGGGCTGTGAACGGCTCACGTATTTGTAAAATCTAAGTGACTCGTACAACATGGAATTCATATAAAACGGAATTATCAACAGTGTTATAGGGGGATCGACTTGTATTATGTATGTAAAATTATTTAATATATATATAGAGAGAGGCCTATAATAATGTCATATTCTTTCATGGCATTCACAATATAAATTTTATGTAATACAGTAAACTCAAATGAAAGAATCTCTATACAATTCCATTGGTATACTTATTCACCGGACTGTAATTATCGATTAAATTAATTATTTTCTCAATAGGAGGGTAATTTATCTTTTATATTAAGTTATATAAGTCTATAAAATTTGCAAGAAAGATATAATTAAGCGAGTAATCATTTATATTAAAAAGTCTTTCAGAATTTCTTAATGGGGAATTTTTATTAATGTGNTAATTCCGACATAGGAAGTCGACATTTTAATTAATATTTTCCGTATTGTCATTTCTATACGGCAGGGGGCGTTTCCACAGTAAGCGAAAGTTGTTTGTGGGAGAAAATGGCGCAGAAGTTTAGAGTTATTGGTTGTAGGCATTCAATCAAGCTGGTTTTTGGTCTCTTTCTTCTAATCTACCATCCGACAGAATGTAAGTTATTTACGTCAATGCTTTAAAATTGTAATATGAACAGAGATATGTTATAATTCGCGCGAAAATGTCCAGAAACTAAAGTTTACTTATTAGGCTTAAACACTGGCTTGGTGAATTTCAAATGATTATTATTTATCATTTGTTTTGAAAGATGTTCGTTGTTATTATATACACGGGCCGACTTTATCATCGTTTCCTGTTCAAATCATCATCGGTTTATGCCAGTAAAAACTCTTCGTATTTTGTCACAATCATCCAACTTCCTTGAATCAATTAAAAGATAGAATTGCATGAAATACAACACCTGTGTTTTTATTCAAATAAATTTTCGTTTATAAACAAAATTCTGTATTGAATTATAATTTTATGATTATAAATTTCTCTTGAATTATTTCAAATTAAATTAATAAATAAATGTTTTTTAAATTATTATAATTTACAACATATGAAATGTATTCGGGCCCATTAAATAATCATAATAATTATTAAGAAGTATATTTAGGATGTATTTTTACGCGCGTTGTCCTTATGTTAATTTCAAAGTCTACGTTCATTTTTGTGTGTTATATTCTTCCATGAAATGGATTTTAAATGCTTACCTAATAATAATAATACATATATGTGAAATAACAGTTTTAATGTTTATAATTTATGCTAGATATCGGTGTTAGGAAATCTTGCATCTGTCGTGTTATAAAATTTGACGTCGAAAATAGCTTTAAAAGGTGATTAGATATTTAAAACCTGATTTTGTTAGCACCTGACGACGGTATTTTGAAGGGAATGAAAAATTATCTAAAAGTAATCTTAGTAAAAATAAAAAAAAAGTATTAGTAAGTGAATTATAAAGTTTTATTTGATTACACAAATGTAAGTTTTTAAAATAAATTTAAATTTTAATAATTTGTTAGAGAAACAGAATATATATTTGAAATTTGTTCAGACGAGGCACATCTTTTTAAAATATTTATTAATGTTCTGTTTAGTGAAACAAACTACATCTATCAAGATGAAATATTAAATAAACTTAGTTTTAGTTTTTAATTTTTTATTTCTTAGCTGCTTCGATTTTAAATTGGAAGATAATTTTAAAGCATTTTTTCATTGCACTGAAGACATTGTTAATTGAAATAAAATTGAGTATGTTTTCTTATGAGATAAACATTAGAAAAAAATAAATTTTTGTCTATTAGAAAAGATGCATACTGGGCATTAGCCTTTTTCAAATGTGTATTACTACTAGCATATAACATAAAAAAAAGACATAAAACTAAGAGAAGTATAACTAACAAAATAACTTTTTAATGTGATTTTTAAATTTTCTGTAATGATGTATTTCTTTAAAATTGTGATTTAATTCATTGCAGTATTAATTTAGAGACAGGTGTTGATTTTTAAACAGACAGTTTTGTGGTCAGGAGTAGATTATTTCTATTTAAAACTGTATATTGAAGTTTCTCATTATTTTTGTACTAGAATGTGAAGAAAGCATTCATTGTATCAAAGTCTAATAAACTTTTGTGTATTGAAATTTGTGTTTTGTCAATTTTGTTTTGCTGGTAGTATAAAAGTTTAAATTATGGATGGCTCTGATGAAATGATTTTAAAGAATTTGTAATTTGTTTAAACATAAGTTGGATGAAGTAGCTTAAATCAATATTCTATATTTTATTTTTGTCTTGATACATTATATAATCACTTTAGTAAGTCAATATTTAGAAATTCTTGAATTTTTTTGTTATACTGATAAATGTTGCTAGTAACAAAACCAATTTGTTTTTCTCTAAATCTAAGCATAGTTTATCAGTGATTTTTTATTCCCAGATACTTTATATTATTTACTCAATTTACAGATTTGTTGTGTATTTTTAATTGAAGTTGATTAAGATCTACATGTGCATTTTTATTTGCAAAATACATATATTTAGTTTTGTTAATATTAATATTAATACTTAGATTAATAAAATTTATATAATTAATTTTGCCAACGTGTTCTTTTGTTTTGTTTGAAGGATTTGCATTTTTTTTTTTTTTTTTTGCTGAATATGTAATACAATTATGTATGCATCTTCATACATAATTAGATGAATCTTCTGCTAGAATTTTAAACAGGCAATTAATATACATCTTAAAAAAGAGGCCTTAAAATTATCCTTGAGGCATTCCTTTGTTTACTTTAAAACATCTTGATAAAGGATTGTTTATCTCTATATAATATAATGATGATTTGATAAATATGATATAAGTGACTGTAAAGATGTACTTCTGTAATTATGAATTTATCTTCTTGAAAGTGAAGATCAGTACTTTTGAAGACCCTAAACAAATTTGTAAATATAGATACAACTAAGTGGGATTTATCTAGTTCTGTAGTTGCCATTTGTTTAAATTACAGTAACGCATCAATAGCAGAGAGAGAGTTGATTTTCTTTCTTTCTCCCATAGGTAGCAAATATTGAGCTTTCTGCTGAGCTAGCACTAAGAATGTTATCTATAATAGAAGGTCCCACAAGTGTGGACTTATAAATTTAACTACGCCCTGTGGTTGTATATATTACTTATCAGTTATTAAGAAACACATTCTACAAAAGTATTAAGATTTTTAGGAAAGTAAAAGGGTTAGTATAACCTAACATTTTTCTCATCTTACCAATGACTTTGGAGAAAAGGAATACAGCAGTAGCCATACCAATGATATTAAACTGGTTAAATTTGGATTAATGGCCTATAAAATTTGACAAGAGGAATTTAAGAGTGTTTGCCCATTTGACATGTCTAAGTGGAAATACAACTGGTAATGACCAGTTGGACATGAACAATAGAAACAGAGTTTGATGTCAGCTAAACTAATAGAGCCTATCCTTACAAGAAAGGAGGTAGGGTGATTCCATTTATGGATGATGCACTTAAAATAACTTAATTTATTGCATTGTTTACCTTTATTTCAGTATAGTGGATAAGGTATTTAAAGAGTAAGAAAAGATCATCATCAGAGGAGATATGTAGAAATGAATTTAGTATAGATATAAAGCTTGAATGATAGGTGGAGCTAGGTCACAACTCAGAAAATGCCCATGAGTGATTTAAGGTAACGTGGGAGGCTAGATATAAAAAGGAATGTTATTAACTAGATGGCAACCCTAGAACATGGCCTGATACTGTGATCATCCTGGGGAGTAAGTTTGAATCATATGGGGAACCCAGCAAAAATCAAAGAAAGCTAGTGTGAAATAATGTCTGTTTGGAAATGCTGCAGGACTAACAATCATCTAGTAGCAACCAACCTGTCATACTTGAAGTCCCAAAAAGAATGAAGTATTCAGCCAAGCTATCTGCACATAAGGGTGTCTGGAGGTAATAGAAGACATAGAGAAGGCATCTACTGAATGGAGAAAAATAAAAATTAAGATACACAGATCAGTGTCAAGAAAAGGAATTAAGAATTGATAGGATGAATCTGTCATTCCACCAGTTGCAGTATTGATGGCACCATGTACCGATGTAGTCCAGAGTTTCAAACAAGTTGAAAGAGATGTCCAGGGTGTATAAAGAAAAGGATAAGAGAATATTGTTGGGATTTACAAACCCACTTGTATTGAACTTTGTTCACCATTTAAACTTTCAGCAATATACATAAACTTAAAAATTCTTGCATAAATATTAAATCAAGTGCTGTAAATAACTTTTGTAAATAAACTAGTTTATTCTAATAACTTACTACCTTGGATTTTATTAGTTCAGAATACATAGCTAAAATATAATATGCAAATCTTGCAACTGCTTAAGTTAATAACTTTCTAAAACTGGTATATATTGCAGTTGCTTGGCAACACATTGCAATGAAGTTTGTTCAGAAAGGATTTTTGGAGAATTTTCTAGGATTTCTTGTAGTTTTTCTAATGTCATTTGTCTAGCATAAAAAAAAGGCAAGTTACCTTCAACAGTTCACACTAATTTCTGTGAAAAATGGTGAGAGGTAAGATAGTAAATTAAAGGGACTGAAGAGGAGAAAATAAGCTTGAAATACTGTAATTACTCTAAATAAAAGACTTCTTGAGAACTTTCTAAGCAAGAAGTAATGTACAAGTTCTAAAAAACACAAATTTCAATATGACAAAAAAGAATTGTCATTTGATGGCCATTTTGATTTTTGACACTTACAAAATTAGAACTGTTGTAAAACAATAAAAATTAAAAAAAAAATGAGGAGGAGAATCATTATTTGATTTTTTCATTTTGCTCATTTTATAACAGCTCATTTTAATGTAATTACAAAATGACATTTTTATGTTTGAGACGATACCTTCTAAACTGCATATGGGAAAAGTAAGGCTGAATTTCTATGCCTGTGCTTTTTTACTTTAAATGCTGTAATATTAAGTACTATTTGAGTCCAAGTGGATCAAATTAAAGTTACTATATTTTACGTGCATTTTTAAAATATATACGTAAAAATGGCATTTATGATTTTTACAGCATATTTTGCAAATTTGATCATTTTCAGGACTAAATAAGTGCTTTATAAACTTTATAACTTGTTTGCGTGGTTTTGTAAATGCTGCTTTTTTCAAGTCTATAGTCCTTTTATGCTATCTGTGCAGTGAGTCTTTTTTGCTTAAGTATAGTTCTCATGAGAAATATCAGTTCACATAGTTTAGCATGCAAAATTCAAATGTTTTAATTTAAATTGTCTAATTTGCATTCATTTTAAGTCTCACAAACAAACATGTTTTATGTTGCATGGAATCTCATTTTTCAAACAATCAAAATCCTTTAAATTAATAGAGTAAAAATTATTGTAAAAATTATATTTATTGATTTAATATTGTTTAATTTAAATCTGTCAAAAGATTATGTAAATATATTGTTTAATTAAATATAAAGAAAATAATTGTTGTGAATAAAGTAGTCAAACTTCCATGTATTGAGAATTTCTGTAGTTTATTTTACAATTGACACACATTTTGTTATACACATTATTTATAAAATAACTAGCA